GATTTAGGCTTCAATATTTTTACACTAGGTTGTTCAAACATGTCTGTTCCCCTAGGAAATTAATTAGAATTTTACAACTTGGTTTTGTATTTTAGTTGTATTTTGCAAGTTGCTTGTGTTTGTGGATTCCTCTCTTGAGTGCTTTGGATTGTTTGGTTTGGTTGGTTGCTTTGGAATGGGTTTAGGCTTGAGTTCTTTTTGTTGGAGCTTCTGGATTCATTGAAGATGCTTGGGATTGAAGATTGGAGCTTGGAGTTGAAGGCTTTTCTTCTTGTGGAAGTTTCTTAGGAGCTTAGGAAATTAGGGTTTTAGGAAGTGCCTTAGACCTAGTTTTGATTCTTTCTTCAAACATTGAGTGCATTGTTTGCCTCTATTCCATCCAATGACATAAAGTCCTCCTTGGGAAGCTCCGTCTCTCCTTAGGAGGGATGAGTGGTATGCCTAAGTGAGCAGAACTTTGAGGATACCTTTCATTTGCAATGTTGAGTTCTTAGTGATTTCCTTTGGTTGTCATTAAGTTTCTTAACATTATAACTTGATCCTGATGATTAATCCTTTTCTTGGAGTGTGTTTGTTGGAGCTTGAAGATTGATGAGGCTAGAAGCTAGAAGCTTGCTTGAAGATGAAACCTTTGCTGTCAACTTTGCTGTCTATCCAACTTTGTTGTCTATCCAACTTTGCTGTTTAGAGCTGTTGTTGTTGTTTGCTGTAGGAGTTTGGTACTGCTGCTTGGGCTGCCTCCTCTGTGTCTTTTGTTTTTCTCTGTATTGTCTGTTTGCTTGTGTTGATTACCTCTAGGTTTGAGGTGGAGCTTGTCTCCTCTTGCCTATTGTCTTCTCCCTTGCCTCTCTTATATTGTTGCATTGCATGCATTTTACTGTTTACTGTAATTGCTTGCTGTCTTTTGCTGTTTATCCCCTAGGATCTCTGATTTCCTCTGTGCAAAAGGAAATTATGACAAACATTAGGGTTTGACGCATGCATGATAACATTAGGCTAGTTTCCCTTTCAACCATAGGCTTTTTAGAGCGCCTTTCACTTCTTATCTCAAAACAATTCAAAAATACAGTAATAAGGATAACGCGTGTTGTACGTTACGAGCCTTAAGCTATTTGAGAAAAGATTGCTGGAGGGTCACTCTTCAGTAATCTGCCTGCTTAGTATGGTACCCTTAGGGTGACATGCGACGTAGTCACTCTCAGATCACAAGTCTTTAGTACAGTACGAGTTGCAAACAGACTAAAAAACAGTTCTTTCGTAAAAAACTGAAAACAAATTTCAAATGTCATTTTTGTCCGCTTGGACCCTTAATCAGGAAAACCCTTTTCAGAAGGAGATAAAAAAATGTCAGACAAACTTGTGTCTTCCGTAGCCCGAACTACGTCTGCTCTGATCTTTCATGCCGTATGAAAGTACGTAGGCACGAGATGCGATATCTCGGTGAGCAACCTTCCCCCCTTAACCCGTAGTTAGGCGAACTACGTTGACTCTGATTTCTCGTTCCAGACGGGAATACGTAGGCATAAAGTGCGATACTTTGCCGAGTCATTTTATTTTTTTTTTAACCCAGACCTGTAGAGTAGATAGAATAACGCACCCTTAGATAGAAAACAAGCGTGGATCCCGTCGAGTACGACGGACGTGAGGGGTGCTAATACCTTCCCCTTGCGTAACCGACTCCCGAATCCAGGATTTGGTTGGGATGACCATTCCTTTCCCTCTTTGTGTTAGGTTTACTCTGAGCGTTTCCTTTCCCTCTTGTGGGATAAATAACGCACGGTGACGACTCTTCTGTCATAGTCGGCGCCCATTTTCGTAGTAGCGACAGTTACTGTCATCTCTCATTTAAAATCACTCTCATTTGATATATATATATATATATATATATATATATATATATATATATATATATATATATATATATATATATATATATATATATATATATATATATATATATATATATATATATATATATATATATATATATATATATATATATATATATATATATATATATATATATATATATATATATATATATATATATATATATCCTGTTAGCATCATACAATTAAATTTGGAACAAGAAGATTTAGCTCGTTAGTGAAAATTGATAATTACCTACTTGAAATGTTAATGGTATGCCATTGGTTTTAATTAATAAGGACTGAGTTAGTGTATTATTGAAATCATGATATTGTTAGTAAAGAGACAAAAATTAAATATTAGTTAATTAAAGAAAATGCAGGAAAAACGTGACTGTTAGTAATATCATATATTGACAACTGTAGCGGAACAATACGTAAGATATTGTTATCCATGTTTTCCTCTAATTGCAGCGCATAGAACCATGGGGGTTTAAATAACTCTTACCTCATTGCTGCATTGCATAGAACCATGGGGTTGAAGTACCCCTTACTTCATCGCGGTAGTGCTAAAGACAAAACTAGAAAATGTAGTATTTCCTTTTCTTTAATGAAGTCTCATAGCAACTATGATATATGTATATGACTGAAAGTTAGATTTATTAATTTAATCATTCTTTTATTAGTTCAGTAATATATCTTATTTTAGTAATATAATAATAATAATTCATTTTATTTAATTATTGATAATTCTTTATAATTATCGTATGAATATTTGATTTCATTAATGATGATGAATTAAATATTTTATAATTAATTGGTGATGTGTGATTTGCGAATTGAGATTAAATTGTATTGATACTTGTGGATTACTTGCTAATTGTGGTGATGATGTTAGAAGTAAGAATGCCATGATTTTTTTTTTTGAAAATGTGGTTGTGTGTGCAATTGTGTGGTAATTCAAGTGTGATGAATTATTGAAAACATGCTTGGATAATAAGATTTGTGAATGATCCTAATTGCATATGGTTATTGAATTTGCACGCGCATCATTTGTGTCAAGAGGCAATGCTTGTTAGTTTTGTGTGAGCTAGTGGCTTGTCCCAAACCTAGAGTGGGATTTGAAAATTTAGGGAATGGGCTTTTGTGTGTTATTGGTTTAGGGAACGGACCCGATTTAAATGTAAAAATCGAAAAATAATACCAAGTGTTGGTACCACATTGTATGAGTTGCATTTGAGTCTTGCATTGAGTCTCATTGTGTCTATGGTAGCAATATGAGATTATGTGTATCATGTGAAATGTTGAATTGGTGAAATTGTGCATTGTGTGTATATACTTGTGAATGGTATGGTTACTTGAGTTATAATATGTTGATGAAACTTTCGAAGTGTGAGATTCTTTATATTTATACTTGTATGTTATATATTATATAATATCTTATGATTTCGATAATTATGTGAATTCTCACCCTTCTGTTGGAATGATGTTTTGTACGACATTGCTCAGGTACCGAGGAGTAGAGTTGTTTCTAGCGTGAGGTAGCTGTTGGAGTAGCTTGTCCTAGTGTCTTTATTTATTTTGGGTCGAGTCGTGTTTTGATCATGTAACACTGGGAACGTTTCATTTCATGTTTTGAGAGATACTTTGTGTACTCTACTTTATATTGTTATGTTTATTTAAATTATATGAAGTTTTGGCTTTTATGCCTAAGCATTTATTATGAATGAGATGAGAATGATACTTTTATTATGTCCATTATGATTGAAGTAAATTTGTTGTTACATGCTAATGTGAAAGTGTATGAAAAACATTAATTTATTTAATGTGTTATTGAGCATGACAGATGTATGTGATGTTTTAAAATTTTATGTGAAATCCTTTTGTGAGATGCATGATAATTCACTCTGATTATTTATATTTAATATGTGGGATTTATAAGGGTGTTACAGAGGATGTATCTTTCTTCATATGGTGAAAGGGTTTGATGTCTTCCAAGTATGGATGATATCCTGATTAACCAAGGGGTTAAGAAAATTTGTATCTCTTTTGGGGGTGTGAGCTTTTCAGGTGTGTTTGAATTTCTTTTCTCAAAGAATAAGGTTGTCTATGGCTGTAAGGTTCAAGATGGATTTATACAGTGTATGGATGTGTTCAAGGAGAGAGTGATCAAAGGTGTTATTTGATCTCAATCCAAGAGTTTACTGGTCATGGTACAAGAATTGAGATCCTAATTGAGCATGAAGGTTTTCATGTGATTCATGTGAGATTGTGATGTCAGAATAAATATCTTAACATCTTGGTGTGTTAATACTTTAACTTTGTAAGTTCTGCTTGTGAGCTTGACGTGTTAAGGCTATTGATTTCAACTATGTTCATGATTCGTAGAAGAGACCTGAGAAACAGGATTAGATATTACATGGGAAAATTTATTTTTCTTTGCAGATTGGGATTAGGCTCATGGAAGCTTTTGTTGTTAAATGGGAGATGTCTCACACACTGTCTTGACATCATGGTTAGAGTCTTCTAATTCTGGCTAAACAGAGTAAACTATGCTTCAAGATTTACAAGAGAGAGTAGACAAAGACTGACTAGGTGTCAGGACATTGTTTAAGACTCATATGTCTGTATGTGGACGATGTTCTTGAATGGTGAAAACGTGCCTTAAAGAAGGCGTGCCAAACATGTTTCCTTGGTACATGCATAGTCTTTGAACGGTTCTCTTTAATGAAGAAACAATCAAAATTGAGTTGGCCAGTGCACACTCATCTATGCCGAAGTTACCTACCTAATTTAATAAATTGAGTTACCTTATACCATTCCATAATCAAAGAATGGTTTGTATATAGATAATAAATGAAGAGTAATACAACATCAAATGAAGTGTAAAATGTGACGTCTAATTAATATTTCCAAATTCTGGATAATACAGCATATCTAGAAAGCCTTCAAATAAGATGAATGATAAAACTACTCTCTTGCTATTCATATCATTCTAAAAATATACTAAAACAATGTGATTGATGTTGGGTGAAGGATACTACTACTTGTGGAGGCCCTTTCATCCAAATAAGCTGTGAGATAACAGAAAAGAAGGTGGAATGTTAGTGTTAATCTATCATGACGCAGCAATTAAAACTTGGAATCTCGTTTCATCATTTCATCCCTATCTATGAAACGCTCAAGCAGCTCCTTCTCTTGCAAAACCAAACAATCTTCAGCCTTGCCAAACCATTCATACCGGTTTTTTGCTATATAATCATACACAACATCTCTTATTGGAGTAGGAATCACCCACAGCCAGCTCAAAGCAGAGTAAGGTAATGGCAAGTATGACAGTACACGCAATGCAGCTGCATAATAATGTCACAATGAGATTGACACGAGAAAAATGACATGGAAAACAAGAGTAGTGAAAATGTAATTAACTTATGTTCATCTATTACCAAAATAATCTAATAATTAGGACATAATCCTAAAGGATGCCTTTGGTAAGTTCCCTTAATAGAGAGCTCATTCATCATCATACAATACGAAAGAATATGGAATAGACAAGAAAATTTATACATTCTAGGAAACAAATACAACTTTTGAAAAATTCACAGTTGGCCAACATAATCAATAAACCTCTCCCAAGTAGAAAGGTCACAGCATATACATACTCACTTGAAGATGAGAAGCATCATCATTGTATGTTAATGAGAAATGAACTAATTTTTCTCTTCATCCAAATTAGAGGACAGAGATTTTTATTTATATTTCTTATGATTTTCTCTTCTTCTAAATAACCTCTGTCAATTTTGCTTCTCTCCATTATCTTTCCTCTCATTTTCTTCTCTCATCAACCAAACAGGGTGTAAAAGCTTCTTGGTTTATTATATATCTGATGTAGGGATCTCGCCTTCTCCAGATTGGGTTGAAATCACTTATACCATTTTCTTGACCCTCCCTTTCCTTTTCCTCCAATTAAAAGAAAACCTCTCTGTATAAAACTAACACTCGTACTTGATTGTTAATTTTTTTTGTTAACTGACGTTTCGATTGTGAGGACGGGAAAAAAGGGCAATTGAATGCAATCCCTACACTCCCCACCGACAGTGGAAGCCTCAAGCACACTAAGGTCACCCTTTATTTTTACTTTTATTTTGGTAACTACTCATGATTGCTAGATTGAGTAGTTAATAGAACTCAGAGGGTTTTAAATAAAGAGGTACGAGAAAGAATAAATACTTTGCACTATGAATATGGTTTAACACGATTGACGATAATTAGACACTAAACACTAAGCTTTATCTAAACTATAACTAAACTCATAATTCTAGTTAAATAGGTGAGTGGATTCTAACCAGTAGATCCCTGAGAGAATACATTCAATCCTTCAATGAATAAAAAGCGACGTAGAACATCCTCTCGTTCAAGACCAGATGCTCTCAAATATGGCTCAGCAGCATTAGACTGAACGCAGCAAAATTTGATCTTCCTATCCTTGTCTGCTCTGATTACCCATTTCACTCCTGCCAATACACAATTGTTAAAAATGTAATACAAAACATTAGACCAATGATTAATACTGTATTCTACAATGAAATGTAATATAAACAAATTAGCACAAACCTGCAACAATGCATAAGCTAATAGAATTAGGAACACTGACAGGGTAAACAGAATTAATTATGACTGGAAATAGCTTATTCAATATTGAACTGAAAATAGCTTAGCTTATTTAATATTGAATTGAAAATAGCTTAGCTTATTCAATATTAATTATTAGATGCTTAAAGTTCATAAATTAAATCTTTCTTCACAAGACACGATGACATTGTAAAACCTAAAATCTTACCCTAATTATGAAATTCTTAAAAAAAAATCCCTTTAACAAAAGGATTATGTGTTCCTATTAACAATCCGTAAAAGCACATGAGTAAAAGAGTGTTTCCTAAGAGAAAGTGAAGAATGGGAATAAAAGTGATACTACCTTGGTGGCAGAGATGGCAAACGCCGTCGTATAGAACAACTCTGGGTTGAAGGAAAGTCGGAGTGACAAGCTTCGCGACGGAAGAAGCAGAGACGTCGACGTCGACGGTGGTGGTGGAAGTGGAAGAGAGTGAACGAAGGAACGAAAGTGAGGAGGATCTGATTGTTGACGTGTCAGTCAAGCTTCTAGCGACGCCTCTCTTCATTGTAATCATATTCATCCTCTTAATTAGCGCGTTGGGGACGTTAAATAGGATTGTAAAATTTGTACTAGATGATTCTAAAAAGATTTAAAAATTCATGACAAAAAAAAAAAAAAATTAAAACTATCATAGGTTAAATTGACATTGATATTATGAGTCTATTAAATTTTCTTCTTAATTTTCTTTTGTGAATAGAGAAATAAAGTTAAGATTGACAAGATTTTTACTTTTTATTACTTTCTAAAATTTAATTTTTAAAATGTGTTTTCTATTTGAAGTATTGTTACTTTAATTTAATTTAAAAAATCATAAAATGACATCTTTTTATTTAAAAAAAAAAAAGCAAATATTAATTTCTCTGATTTTTGAAAAATATTAGTAATCGTTGAAATTAAGTCGAGTCGAGTCAAATTTGATGCAGTTCGATTTTTTAAATTAGCAACATTTTGGTAAAACATGCTGCCAGCAAGATGTTAAACCAGATGTTCTGTTATGACAGTCAGACATCATGTCCAGTATAATATTGTGACATGTGCCAAGACATGTTATACCAGAAAGTTAGGGCATGATTGTTTTGGTATTTTTAGTGTGATTTTTGAGGGTGTTTTAATTCACATGTTTGCGTTACCCAAGGAAGGATATTGTGGGAGCTTCTATTTTGACAGATTGTGATGGTTTTGTTAAAAAGGATCGTTGAACCTTTTTAGAAAACTTTGTGTCTTGTTCCTATTTTTGTGCAGGAGATTATGCTTATGATTCCAAGCTGATTCTTGGTGAGTTGCGCTTCTAGAGCTCAAGCCCATAAGGTCTGAAGACTATTTAAAGAGCAACCTAAATCTAATGTACTCACGACTTTCACTTTTATAAAAAAAAGGAGAGGTTTTAGAGTCTTAGGTTTTGAGAGTCTTTTAGTGTGACTTTATAAGTCACCCATGTATCTTTTGATACATTGAGGTTGACGGATTGTATGTTGTTTATTGTTCACACATAAACTTTTAAGCAAGAGTGTATTGTCATTAGTTTAAAGTTTTTAAGCAAAACTAAGTATTGTTCTTGGAAGAGTGTTCTTCTATTTTGAGTTAATGTTGAATTGTCACTAGTTTGTGACTGAGTAAGAACTGAGAGGAGGATCTCATATCTAGAGGGTTTCTAGGTAGAAGTTGCACAAGGTAGTGATTAGACGAGAAGTTTTGTAAACGGAGGAGTTTAGCTTTGAACTAATGTTATCATAGTGAATTTCCTTTCTGCCTTGGATGCCCCAAGATGTAGGTGATGTTACACTGAACTGGGTAACCAATTGACTGTGTTATTTATCTTTCTGCAATTTATTTTTCAGTTTGATTTATTTGTTCTGTCATACATAAGATGTCGTAACACATGTATTGACATTATGTTCTGATGTGAGACATCAGTATTAACATGTGTTTAAGTGCCATAATTTCAGTTGGCATCAGAGCTGGCACCCTAGTCAATTTTTGGGTGAGTTTCAGGGAGTTCTTTTGGTACTGTATGATCATTGGAAGGCTAGATTGGTAGCTCTCTTGAGATCAATGGTCAATAGCTCTTTGAAATCTATCACCAAAAGGTGTGTGTGGATTGTTCCCGGTGAGGAAGGGTATGATTTGGCTCTTGTTGCTTTGGAAGACTCTATATCTAATGGAATTGATACAAATGTATCCAGTTTGTTAAACACATGTGTGGTGGGGAAAGATGCTTGGGAATTTCTCAAGATTATTCTTGAAGGCACGTTTGGTCAGCAGGGTTCTGAGGTCTTTACTCAAGAGATCTGTCTTGAATGTGATTGTTGCTGGAGACGGAGATATGGATATCATCAGCATAGTTGGATCTTTTAGATCATATTTTCCTTTAAAACAACATATCTGAACAGGAGGACAAGGGCATGTGTTTTGTCTCAAATTTTGTAGAGCTTGTGACCTTGTGAAGAGCTACTCAGTACTTGACTTGGGAGGAAATTCAACCAGACTCTGAGGATAGTGGATAGAAGGTAAAGATTTAATGTGATGAACATCAGGTTTAACACTTGTAAGATCTAGGATGTTTTAAATGTAGATACTCAGTGTCGTGAAGGTTGCTACTATCTTCTCTAGAAGATGGGCTTCTGATGTAGTTCCTTGTATTGGAGAATCAATTCATGTTGAGTTGGTTAATTCTTCAAGGTTTGTGCATCAAGAGTACAGAAGGAATATAAAAGGTGACTATGTTGATCTCTAATTTTAATTTCATGATCAAGTCTATGAAGATGTGAACAACTGTTATTATGTTATTCTGGTTGAGGAGTTGACTGAAAGCCTAAAAGGGATAGGGGTTCTTAAGGATATATTAAGCAAGGTAGAACTCATATGCCAACATTTTTGTTTCCATCAAGAGGCAAGCTGAGTCAATGGTGTCTTCGTAATGTCTTGACATCGTGCCGAACATCAAAATATTCATGCTAAAGGCAGGAACTTGCTCTGAAGATGTCTTTCTTCTAGGGTTAAGTTGGTCTTATCAGGTACTTTTGTTTCAACTTGAAAGGATCAACTCAGCCTATAGCTAACCAAGCAGTGGTTAGAGCTCTAGGAAGATGCAAATTGTGTTGTCTCTCATACCTTTTTGGAGTTGCAACTGAGCAAGATTGGTATTCTCGCTATGGGTGTTCCAGACTCATGATTGGAGTAAAGGAGGTTCTGTTGGACTCTAAGTATCTCTCTCCAACTATGTTCCTGTAATAATGGTGCCAAAAGGGTCAGAGTAAATGGGCTTGAGAACTAGAATTTCGAGTCTTGATGTTGTCTCTTTTGATCAAGGTTCCATTGAAGGGGATAATGCTTGGTCACTAATGAATTTTATGAAGCTCTAAGGAAGAAGTTGAGTCCAAAGCCAGTTGATTTGGTGTGTACCCCAAGGAACTGCATGGTCATGCTTAATGACCAAGGAAGATGAACTAGAGATGTCACCAAATGATGCATTACCAGTCTTCTGCAGGTCTTATATATGTTCCTCTTGTAGTCCTTATGAGACCAATGAAAGGTAGAGTCTTAGTGGATGGAGGAGCAAACTGAGATGGAAGAGTTTGATAATGGTGATATGCTCAATCAGCACCCGAGTAATTTGATTAAGATAGGTGTTACTTGTTAGAGAGAATCCCTTCTTGATTGCATAAGGGTTTTTGCTGGTACTGTGTTATCAGACAAGTTGTCTTGACATTATGCTTATGTGTAGAAGATCTTTTGGTTCTTGTTGTGTATGAGAGTTAATTTCTCTCTATGGAGTTTTTATTGTGAGTGACTCTGATCTGCCTTTGCAGTTTGTTCCTTTACTGTTGTGTTTAAATGATGGTTCTCAAGTAGTTCTTGCAAAAGGATGTTCCTGGGCTGCTATGATGATAACAGAACATATGCATGTTATATCCAGAACCAAAGTTAATGGTTCAATCATTATAAAAGGGACTGATGTCCAAGAAAATGTTGAAACATCATCGCAGCAGATTAACTCTACAGAAAATGAAGTAGATTTTTTATGGAAGTTAATCTTGTGGAGTTTGTGATCACCAATAGATTCAGAGATGAAATATCTAATTATGATGAATTTTGGAGTAAATTATTGGCCAAGTCTGGTGGTGATAGTGACTTTGACATTTCTGAAAGGAATAATTTGTTGGTATATATGATGTCTTGACATTTGACCTGATGTTGTATAGAATCATGATCTCTCTGAGATTTCCTTGTGATGCTATGGTGTGAAGCATGGGAATGATCTCTACTTGTCTATGTGATTTATGGTGGTGATTGTGGTTTTGACAAGCCTGTGAAGGAAGGAGACCTCTGGGTGAAAATCATGGAAAAGATTATGATCTCTAAATTTCTTGTTCTTGTTTGTGATGCACGATGCCTAAGGGAATGTACTTCTACTGATGTGGTTTGTGTGCATGATGTCAAACCAAACGTGCATGGCATCTTGCCTGCCTGAAGTGTTTTTGAGAACTCTGGTTTCTCTTATATGTTTTTGAGGCTTATCTTAATTCTACTGTGCATGTGCCTATGATATGTGAACTGGGACAATTCATTGGTATGTCCTTGAAAACAATGATGTTTGGTGTTTGGGAGAATTTATTTTTCTCTGCAATGGGTTATGGTCTTTAGGAAGAGTTTTTGTTCTGATTAATCTGTGATGTCTTGACATTGTGTTTAGCTATTCAGCTACACCTTGCTGGATTCTTAAGCCATGTTATTCAGAGGGAGTTGGCGTTACTGATGTATGATGTACTTATGTGGGTCCTATTTATTCGTTAAGGATGTCTCTTCTTGAGAAAAAAATCGTGTTTTTTGGATCAACAAGAATTTAATTTGGGTCTAAGTATATTGTTGAGGAAGTTGTTGCTCAAAATTGTGTTGATTGCTAAAAGATTACAATGTCAAATATGATGTCATGACATTGTATTGTGACAAGCTGTTTACAATAAGTATTTGCCAAAGTTTTCACTCTGCACAACTGGATAATTTTAGTGTAACCGGTCTTCATTTTGTTAAGGGTATTTTGGGAGTTTGTATTAATGAAGAGTTATAGAAACTACAGATTATGAGGCCTGAAAAATGTTTTTTTTTGTTGCATGTGTTTCTCAAGAAGAGAAGTTTTTCAATGACTTGGAGAATGTCATTTTAAATTTTGTAGTCAAAGCTTGGAAAGCAAAAAAGCGGAACAAGAGAATGTCTCTGTTACCAAGGATAATTTCATTCCTTTCAACAATCATATCCTTGAGTAATCAGGCGATATAAGAAAGGTCTTCGTTCTTTTTTTTTTAATCCAAAAACCTTACTGATTCATCCTTCTACCCGACTGTGTTTCAACATGAGTTAGAATTACAAAAACAATGGTGTTAAAATGGCTCTTGTGTTGGATGCCAAGAAGAAGAAGAGTGAGGATTTGAAGAAGGTGGAGTTCGAAATTGGGGCATTTGTTGAATCATCTACTGGATCATCTAGGATAGAGAAAACATATGTGACAAAGATGAAGTCCTT